CCCCCCCAAGTGCTAAATGCTTGTTAAGTCTAGGGGTAAAGTAATAAGGTGTAATTCCTTAGTCCACGTTCCAGCACTCGCCCCTTCTCCCCAATACTCCAGGTTGTTGACAGGCCCTCATACAAATGCTAAGGACCATTGGCCCTGCACTGTACTCAAACACAAGCATGTGACTCCTGGCCAGAGCATCTTATCCCTATTCACACCTAAGCAAAACGCACATCACATTCATGCTCGACGCTCTCAATGGGTTCCTGCACACACCGGAAACTAGCTTAGGTAGAAAATTCTGCTACAGGTGCACTGCATTGTCACCATGTTTGAATGTGTGCAAATGCAGGAGGAAAGCCAGACATTTGCCCAGTCACATTCAGGGTGCCAGTAACATGTTTTTGATGCGTTCTGCAAACGGGTGTCAAAGTGCGCATTGACCACCCCCAAGTTTGGCACACGTTCACGGAACGCCTAGGTGTGAACAGGGACTTGGAGAATAGGCTTTGTGGGGACAGGTTGCACAGATGGAAGACTCTTGCTGGAGCAGGGAGTAAGGCAAGTATTACAGCTCATCACTACCACCAGTCTCAAACTCTATAAGCCCATCTCTAGATAGAGAAGGAAAAAAAAAACCCCACACAAACTACATACACTAAAGACTTAATTAAAGCTCAACTATGGGAACATTGCACTGCAGCTCCCCTGCACTGCAAGGGTTAAAGCCTATCTCCAGTCAAAATCCCTCCCCTTGCAGCAGGGCTACCCCTACACCACAATGGTTGCTGGTTGTGTCTAGGGATATGGTGTAACTTACTTACCTGCTCCCTGATGCTTGGCACCAGCCTAGTCTCCTTCATTGGAGCTTGTGGACTGTTCCTTGGCATCCTCATGTATAATGTAGGACTATGGGTCCTGCGCAAGAAGCACCCCCCCTCCCCCCAACTGCCAGAGCATGGGGTGGAAAGGGGCTGCAGGCACCAGTCTGAGCCAGCAGGAGCGGGGATTAGGCAAGTAAAAGTCTTCCACAGATCCCCTAGGCATCATGTGTGCACAATTCCTATAGGGCCACTTTAATATCCAGTTTAAGGATTTGATCTGCTTTAATAAAGAGGAGGGGGGGGAATAAAGGTCAATGAGGCAGAGGCCGCCCGGCATATAGGAGCAGCACATGCCCAGACTGCATATCGTAAGTTACGCAATCACAGTCTACTTGAACATGCAACGTTCTTCTGAGCCAGCATTCTTTTTATTCCTGCAAATCACGCTGGAAGTCTTGGCACAGAGCCAAAGGCTTTAAACTTGCCTGGGACACTTCATGGGCACACTAGCAGTGAAGAAAGGTAGATGAGCGTAGGGCTCAGAAAGCATGCCATACAGAACTAGCACGAGACCACCTTTAAACCACGTGTGTGTGTGTGTGACAGCAGCGAGGACCGGCTCCAAAAGCCGGCCCGGGTACCCCAAACTCCCCCCTCCTCTTTCCTATGAGTCACCGCCATGCTATTCAGCCATAGAGATCACATTCCAGCCACCGACACCCAGCCCCGATCTCCGCTTACCTGCACCAGGTGACGAGGCCGGCACGACAGGGTGGGGAAGTTCCCTCGTCCGTGGATGGGCACCGTCTCCCCGAGGATGGCATCCAGGCGGCGGACCTGCGGCCACGAGAGGACGCTGAATCTCGGCGACTGGAACGGGGTGTCGGCCGCCGGCTGGGTGGACATGGTGGGCGCACGGAGCTCTCCGCGGTCTGCTGACATTCACTCGCCCGGTGTGCTGTGTGAAGATGCGATGAGCGTCACGTTCCGGTACTCGGACACGCTCCGGTAGTCTTCTTAATGGGCCCTAGAACGGCAACAGGTCCCGCAGTGTCCAGAAAACACGCTGCAGCTCAGAGAACGTGCTCGAAGGGATGCAAGGACTGGTGCTTTAAAATCAGGTTAAAACCGGTTTAAAAAGAATAAAAGTAAATGGTTAGGCTGTTCGGGTGCTGCTGACAGTGTCCAGGCTGACTGAGTGGGGCGGGTCACACTGCTCTGTCCGCACACCGAACTAGATGTTACTTCTGACAGCCGTAACACCCACTGAGCGGCTCCCGTTTAAGCTGATCTTCTTATATGCGAAGCCGATATTGTCACTGATTGGATGAGCTAGCTGTCACTCGTATCCTCCTCTCTCGGTATTTTCCTACCATTTGTCCGGACATTTTAGGTTTCCGCCTACTCCTGCTATCGTCACGCATAGCGGCAAGACGTTACTATTGGACAGCTGCCAAAGCAGCTCTTTAGCCTATTGGCTGTCACGATAATACCTCCCGGAGTAAGGAATCCCAGCGCTGATTGGCCTTTAGGAATGCCAGTTGGTTTAAAGGGACTAGCGGATCGGTTATGGTTCCAGCAGCGTGATGGTGAAATTAACGCTTTTGGTGCACGCATCTGGCACATCGAGTCTTTGTTGCCACTGTACTCGGGGTGGCCCATTAGATATATTATTAGGCGTTTCTTGTGCCTCCTTCCTTTAGGGACTAGGTCATTCTAGAGCTTTCTGAAGTGACATGTCTCGTGGCTGCGTAGTAAATTTAAAGCTACAGTGCATATTTAAGCACATGAAGAGTGAGGTGTTAAACTCCCTTCCTGGCCAGATCATTTTTTAGTATTCAGCGCTGTGGTACTTTGACATTTATTCCGTCATGCAACGCCGTACCAACATTATTTTTTAAATCATTCTTTTGGGACATATTGAGCTTTCTTTTGGTGGTATTTATCCCCATTGTTTTATTTTTTACTATATTAAGAAACGCTACATATAGCGTATAACATTGATTGTTACAAAATTGTTTGGGTAAAATATAAAAGATGATTAACAGCCCTTTCTACCTATTGCCGTCTATCCAATTTTAAAGTGAATCTTCAAAAATCGGCCGCCCTCAACGTGACTGTGTCCCCAAGGGAATTTGAGCGCCTAAAACCTTGGTTCCCCTTTCATTGGGAGACACGACACGTTTAAATATCTGGGCATACTCATTACCAGTGACTTGGATGACCTCTGTTCAACCAACTTTCTTCTACTTCTGAAGAAAATTTCCTTAGATCTCAAGGCTTGGCACCTTCTTCATGTTACCTGGTTTGGCCGTTGTGCAGCAGTTAAGAGGAATATCTTACCGCAGGTCTTGTACCTTCATCAGGCCTAGACTGAGTAGACGTCTCCTTTCCCTTCCCGGAGGTGGGGGGGTTGCCAATAATATATCTACATATTATACCAATATCCACTTCTTTAGGTTCTTCGACTGGTGCCTCCATCGGGATGATAAGTGCTGGGTAGCATTGGAATGCAGTATCTTCCTCCTCCCGATCGAGGGCCTCCCGTGGCTGTTTTCCCCTTTACCCAGTGAAGTACAATCCCACCCACTGGTGTCTACGACCCTACGGGGTGACGCGCAAGGTTTTCGGGTCCTCAAATCTGTCCCCGCCCCCCTCCCCCTTGACACCTGTTCATGGGGACCTGACAACGCCCGTTTGCGCCTTGCTGTTCTTCTTGCCAACAAATTCAGATTCCATCTCTTCCATCTTTTTTTCTTTCGACCTAGAAACACATCTGGCCAGAGCATCTTATTCCTATTCACACCTAAGCAAAACGCACATCACATTCATGCTCGACGCTCTCAATGGGTTCCTGCACACACCGGAAACTAGCTTAGGTAGAAAATTCTGCTACAGGTGCACTGCATTGTCACCATGTTTGAATGTGTGCAAATGCAGGAGGAAAGCCAGACATTTGCCCAGTCACATTCAGGGTGCCAGTAACATGTTTTTGATGCGTTCTGCAAACGGGTGTCAAAGTGCGCATTGACCACCCCCAAGTTTGGCACACGTTCACGGAACGCCTAGGTGTGAACAGGGACTTGGAGAATAGGCTTTGTGGGGACAGGTTGCACAGATGGAAGACTCTTGCTGGAGCAGGGAGTAAGGCAAGTATTACAGCTCATCACTACCACCAGTCTCAAACTCTATAAGCCCATCTCTAGATAGAGAAGGAAAAAAAAAACCCCACACAAACTACATACACTAAAGACTTAATTAAAGCTCAACTATGGGAACATTGCACTGCAGCTCCCCTGCACTGCAAGGGTTAAAGCCTATCTCCAGTCAAAATCCCTCCCCTTGCAGCAGGGCTACCCCTACACCACAATGGTTGCTGGTTGTGTCTAGGGATATGGTGTAACTTACTTACCTGCTCCCTGATGCTTGGCACCAGCCTAGTCTCCTTCATTGGAGCTTGTGGACTGTTCCTTGGCATCCTCATGTATAATGTAGGACTATGGGTCCTGCGCAAGAAGCACCCCCCCTCCCCCCAACTGCCAGAGCATGGGGTGGAAAGGGGCTGCAGGCACCAGTCTGAGCCAGCAGGAGAGGGGATCAGGCAAGTAAAAAAGTCTTCCACAGATCCCCTAGGCATCATGTGTGCACAATTCCTATAGGGCCACTTTAATATCCAGTTTAAGGGTTTGATCTGCTTTAATAAAGAGGGGGGGAAAAAATAAGGGTCAATGAGGCAGAGGCCGCCCGGCATATGGGAGCAGCTCAAATCTGTCCCCGCCCCCCTCCCCCTTGACACCTGTTCATGGGGACCTGACAACGCCCGTTTGCGCCTTGCTGTTCTTCTTGCCAACAAATTCAGATTCCATCTCTTCCATCTTTTTTTCTTTCGACCTAGAAACACATCTGACCAAATATACCACTTTTAGTCTAGGGATGTTTTTGGATCTCTACAGATCCTACTTAGAAACAGCAAATTGTGTGACTTAGATAGCTATGTCTAATTTGTTATTACACGTTTGGGATTTTTTGTATAACATGGTCCTGTACGTTTACACTACTGTAGTTGTGGACTTTATAACCTTACCGCTTTTACTGATTCTGTACTCTGTTGAATTGTATCAGTCAATAAAGTATTTTTAAAAATCTATATCTATATCTATCTATCTATCTATCTATCTATCTATCTATCTATCTATCTATCGGAAAATTGTATACTTACCTATTGGTAATTTCCCTTTCCTGACACCAATACATGGCAGCATACAATGGGTATGGCTCCGCCCCTAGCCCAATTACAGGACAGTTATACTATAAATTAAAACCCGCCTCCCAAGGCCACCATTCTCGTAACAAGTACTCAATGCGAAAGCCATGGGAGGGTCCTGTATGCTGCCATGTATTTGTGTCAGGAAAGACAAATTACAGATAGGTAAGTATACAATTTTCCGTTTTCCTGACACCTACATGGCAACATACAATGGGATATAGCGATCATATAACCAGGGAGGGTAATGCTGAGATATTTATTCATTTGTACCACTGGTAAACACATTCAGAACAGAACTTCACCATGGACAAGATTTCTGGATAGACCCCGTAATGGGACAAGAAGAAACACCAAGTTACTGCCTTCCAGTATAACTCTGGAGGTGGATCACTAAAACTATCCATAAGGAGGAGAGCCTGCAGAAGAGCGAACCCAAGACTAATCTGCGGCTCCATCTGTTTGACCAGGCACAATACATGTGACCTAGTACATGCAGAGAGCGACTTTCTAAAACCATCAGAAAGATGAACAGATCGAAGGGCAACCTCAATGTTTCTCCCCAGCATTGCAGTCACATCTCGGGGATGAGATGAAACAAAAAGCTTGATTCCGGAATATTGGCGACATTAATGTCCTATGTACTGTAGCTGTCCTATGTACTGTATTCCAATCTTCAGAAGATGCTAGGAGAGAGATTTAAGACCAATCACCCCACAAAAGGAAATACAAAGCCATTCCCCCTTCTCCCTCCATAAGAATAAGCCACTCCCACATCAAATCCAAAACCAACCCATATCGCCCCAACAAGCCCAACCCCCCACCCCCACACACCAAAACGTACTCCAACAGGGACCCCCATCGTCGATGACCACACTTCCTTAAGAATCTCGCGGTGAGTTGATAAATGCACCACACACCGCTTAAACTTTCCTCCATCTCATTTGCACTTCTTTGTTTTTCTTTGTTTTTTATTTTTCTCCCTCCACCCCTGATACTCTACACGTCGCGGAGAGAACACCGGGTAATATTAACCCTGCATACCCAAGTCCATCCAGCTCCTTATTTCTATCATTAATTTTATCATTTTTTATTATTATTATTTTTTATATATATTTTTTTCACCTGTCCAACCCCAAGGGCAGTCGCGCTTCAGACCCTTCTTTTCTGTTTTTTGCGAGAGATTTAGGACTACCTAGTCTGTGAAATGGTAGCAATAAGGTGGTTTGTAGCCCAATCTTGACTATCCAACACCCTCCTCCCTACTGTAGGAACAAAACAAAACGTTCTACACGTTACTGTCCATACGGAGTATGTGGGAGCTAGACAAAGTCGAGGAAGGAAGAAGATAGACCGCACTCTTGTAAATTCTAATGGAAGAAAAGAGACTTTCCTAAAGAGTGAATCCTTGTGCAAGTCTGTAGGAGCTGGCTTATCAAATAATGAGCTACCTCTTGTGTCTCAGAGGATATATAAATATGGTACTGACACCCAAGTACATCTTGTTCGCCTGAAGAAAGTCCAATATACCTATCATGGCAAGGTGAAGAGAGACAAAACCTACTAAGCTTGCGAAGTTTATGAGATTATTCTACATTGTAGAATATGTGATGTTTGGCAGGTGCTCTAGCATTCAACAATCACTCAATGACTGAAGAGGAGTAATCCAGGCAAGGCAGACTGTACTTCCAACTTCCAAGCCGTTTAAGG